CTTCGAATGATCTCACCCAGCAGTTTCATGTAGATGTTGAATAGTAGGAGGGATAAGACCGAACCCTGCGGCACCCCGTATGTTAGGGGCCTAGGGGGCGATCTCTGCCCCCCCCACTAACACCGACTGCGACCTGTCCGAGAGGTAGGAGGAGAGCCACCGTAACACGGTGCCTCCCACTCCCACCTCCCGCAGTCGTCGCAGAAGGATACCATGGTCGATGGTATCGAAAGCCGCCGAGAGGTCGAGGAGAACCAGGATGGAGGCATGGCCTCCATCTCTGGCTCTCCAGAGATCATCGGTCAATGCGACCAAAGCGGTTTCTGTGCTGTAACCGGGTCTGAAGCCTGACTGGAAGGGGTCGAGATAGTTTGCTTCCTCCAAGGACCGTTGGAGCTGGAAGGCCACCACCTTCTCAACAACCTTCCCAAGGACTAGACTAGACTAGACTAAAATACGAGTTGGAAGGGACCTTGAAGGTCTTCTAGTCCAACACCCTTCTTAGGCAGGCAACCCTATACCACTTCAGACAAATGGTTATCCAACCTCTTCTTAAAAAACATCCAATGTTGGAACATTCACAATGTCTGGAGGCAAGTTGTTTCACTGATTAATTAACTAGACATACCCAGTTCTTGCAACCGTTCTTTATATGTTTTAGCCTCCAGTCCCCTAATCATCTTGATTTGAACCCATGGTTACAGACAATCATTACTACCAACTTCTCTCCAGGGATTCAGTTACTCTACTCAGCTCAAGTCTGAGAAATGGGTGGCTCTCCATATTTTGCTAGTTTGCAACTCCCAGCAGCCCAAACCAACCTACTAAAGGATGCTGGGTGTGGCTGTTCAACAATATCTGGAAGCAAATGGGTTTCCCTGTCAGTGTCTTAAGACAACAAGGAAAGGTAGAAGCAAGCATGGGTAATCCAAAAATCCCCAGTGGAGCCATTTTCACTACTAGACATCAAACTATATTGGACAGTCAAGTATGGGGAATTGATGGCTTTGTCTCTGCTTAATATCCTAGTATAATTTCTTACTGGGGATGAGAGGAATTAAATTGTTTTGTCTGTCTAGAGCAGTTTATGCATTTATACATTCCTACATGTCATGAGAATTTCTTTTGAGTTGTATGCAAATCTTTCTGCGTTGAAGTTTTGTGAAGTGAATGCCTATGTTCCCATACATTATTTACAATTTGTACAATGATATAAATCAAGCCAAATATTTAGGAAGGATCCCTCTTGGAATTTACACCAACTATAGCTAATAGCCCTGGAGGCTGAAACTTTTGTGGAATTATATTCCCAAATGCATTAAGGAAACCTTTAATAAATAAACTGATGTTCAGGATATCTGTTCTGTTAGATATATAGTTAAACGGATAGAGATGTTAGGAATAAAATAACAAAACTGCATATCTTTTACTTTCAAAATCTTTTAATAGTACACATTTGTCTTTGTCATTTGTAAAGTTTTACACTCATTTAAAAAAAAAAGATATTTTAATCCAATACTCCCCATTCATTTCACCTTTTGTTTCCCTGACCATATACCCAGTTTTCAGTCTCTGTACCTGATATGATATAACAATAAGTTGATTATTAAATACAAAGTTCTAAAATAGTTACTAGATTGTTTATGGACATTGGTACTGTGGCTACTCTAGTAATTTTTGTGAAAGATTCTACATGGGTTACTATAGTCAGGGGGCACAGAAGGAAAGAAGGGGCGCATTGTTAGCCCGTAAAACTTATTTTCTTTTTCAGTTGAGTACATTCTACAGAAGCCAAAAAAGTATTTATTGTTTTTCTTCTTCCAAATTATCTGCAGTTTAAATAACCTGTAATCTCTCTAAAAGGTATAGAAATACTATGTGCAATGTTTGCAAATATAGAATTTACATCGTCTCCCCCCCCCCTTTTGAGGTGGTAGCAAACCTTTACCCTCATAAATTACTATAACCTGGCAAAAACAGAATTGTCTCTTCTTACCAGCAGACACTAAGTCCATAGTATTAAAGTGCTGGTGTGCTTTGAAACAAACTGGATAGAACTTGCCATGGGGGATTAGGAACAGAAATAATTTTTTTGATTAATACATTTTAAAAAATAATGTAGAGCTGCAGCATTGGAGAGAGCTAGAGAAAAATCCAGTTCTAAACACACTCAGATGCACCAAAGTCTTAATGAACAAAATATATATCATATTCCTATAAATGATGATCAAATCACACAAGGTTTTTCCCCCTCTTCTATAATGATTACAACATTGAGTTAGCCTACTTATTTGTAGCATACATTATATCTCAGTAGGGCTGTTGATTTATTTAAGATTTTTATTTGATTAAAAATGGACATTTAAATCCAAAAGTCAGTGTCTTAAACATTCATAAATTAGCCTATGACCAAAACTGTTAGCGTAACAAAATATTTCTTTCCATAACAATAATAAAAGCTATAATATTTCTTTCAAGATTACTCATTCAGGTGCTGCTTTGTCCTGTAATCAAGCTTTCCAATATACTAATGTATTAATATTAGCAGAGTTCAGACCTTAAACCAGTCTCATCTGTAGAGCCCTTTTCTTAAATGTCGTCCTCGTTCTTAATTTAGCATATATGTACTAAATATGTGCATAAAGCTATACAATGCAGCTGGGATCAACTATTTTAAGCTATACAACATAGAACAGACATCTCACTGGAATCATAGAAAGTGTATGTTAAGTTTGTAGCTTACTTTTTAAACTACATTGACAAACTGAAGTTTATAGTACGGCTTATCATGATCAAAGACAGACTAATACACAGCTATATTAATTTCAGAATTCCATTCGTGCCATGGGTGTAAGACTCTTCCAACTGGAGGTACTGGCCAATTTTTTTTTCTCCCCCAGTCTGGCCTCAGCCACTTTCCTTTGGGAAAATCTCTTCCATAAAGAGAGAGACAACTGACCAAGAGCAGGGTCAGTAAGGATTGCATCTGTGAGCAACTACCCATCTTCCCCACCTCCTCAAAATGTGTTTAGAACTGGGCAATAAATTTTAATTGACCTTTGGGAAAGCAGGGAAAAAACCAAATCAAAACCTTAACATAGAACCAATCTTTCTCCTAAGTCTTCATTAAAAGGCAAGACCTCAGTTCACTTCTAGTACTAAGACGCTTGGCAGGAATAGACACTGCTCTAGTGATTTCTAAAAAAAATAAATACAAAAATTATGAACAGAACCATTCTACAGAATTGATGTACATCTCTTCAGAACCATTGTGTTTTGCTTTTTATAAAAAAGTCTAATGTTATTTAAAAAAGGCCCAACCCAAAGTTATTTAAAATCCCATGAAGATTATTGCACATACAGTAGTACTTCAATTCGATTTTTTCAAAAGGGCAAGTAGAAAATATTTGTATCACAAAGTATGCATGCTTTATTTTCCTGAATGCATTAGCTTACAGTAAGTTATGTATTGATTGGTCTTTATTGAATATAATTCCATGAAGCAACTCCTTAGTTTTATTAACATTCTTCCCAAGCACAATGTTTCCCAAGCACTGAAAATCTATTAATTTAAACCCTTTTTTAATTTGAGTGGTGATAGTTCCTCTCATTTCAAAGCAGGCTACATTTTTCATTCTAGTTTCTTCCTAATATATTGCACTTTACACCTTACTCAGAGATTAGGTATTGAAGGTGTAGGACACAATTGATTTCATATTACTAGACAACTAGTACACATTTTAACCACTGTAGATACTGCAGGCCTTTGGTTGCCTTAGCAAATTAGGCTGTTAGCAGAAGAGCTGATTCAGATATTTGTGACTATGTAAAAGGTCTAGAAGAGGGGTCTAGGACAACTCACCCCAGCCAATTCACCATGGCCAAACTCGTTGTGGGACAATTGAATGTTATACTAATTGTTTCATTCAGTTACTTTTATTACTGGTGACCATGTTTTCATTGAAACTATTGTAACTTTGGTATTTCTGCATTGAATTTATTTTGTTATCATTGGTCACACTTCTCTCAAAAATTAATTTAACTTTTGTACATTTGTATTTTGTATTGAATTGTCTTGCGGTGAGTTGACCATAGAGAGTTGTCCACGGCAAGTCGGCTGTGGTGAGTTGTCCCGCAGGGTCATATTGCCTAATTCTGATGCTTCTGCATTGCTCTGTCTCATTAACTTTATTGTCTTCACACGTCAAATTGATCTGAGTTCTATTTTGGGAAAGCCATACTGTAGGTGTACAGAGCTTGGGGATAAACATGATGGATGAATGGGAAAATGTTCAGAGGAGCATGATTACATGAGAGAGAGTGACAAAACAAGGGATACAATTCCTTCACTATACATAAGGTTGATTATCGGCAGCTGGCTTCGATGTAGAGAAACCAAGTAATTAAGCCAAAAATAAAGGACTGAAATCATTTAGATCATCATATTGTGCTTTTTCCTACATTTTACATGAGAAGATCACAACAAACTAATTTGTAAGAATCACACTAATTGCCTATATATTAAAATGATTCAAGAAGAGTAGTCTAATTTGAGTTGGTGACCTGGTTAGATTTCATTTCCTACTCAATGGACTGGAATAATGACAGTGTTATAAATTGAATGTTTCTAATTTTCCACAAGCAGGGTGGCACTAAAGTAAGAGTCTAATGGTATGGAGCATTTTGAAGACTCTGATAAACAATGCCCATTGTTTATTTAAACCATTACCAGTTGTCAAAAATCATTTGGAGTGTGTTTTTAGGAGTGTCCAATGTGAGTTGATTTTATAATCATAAAGATACAGGTTTCAGTGTTTAAAATTATATCCTCATATTCAAACTGGGTTTTAAAATATGATTATAATATTGTTTTCAATCAATATTTATGTTTGGTTTAGTTCCTATATTTAACAAAATATGGTCTATATGAGCACATTACCTAGAATATATATTAAAGATATTCTGGGTTTAAAGCATTTATTAAGACTGCAATGGTAAATACATTTAACAGAGAGATTAAGCTGAAATCAATTATTTTAGCAAAAATAGTCATGTAGCTTGAAAAGCAAGGTCATTTTATCTTATTATTATTTTTAAGAATGAATAAAGGGGCAATGTGATCCATAGAAAAGAGCCATTTGATCACATCAATACTGACAAATTCACATTTGGACTCTGAAAAGGCTCCCCAAATTATGCCAGCATAAATCTGAGGATCCTTGGATATGCACAATACTGATTTATCTGAAGAGTCATGCTTTTTCTTGAACACAAGAAATCAGAGGTATGTGCAAAAACTAACTTTCTACTGCATCTTATATTTGTCAAGTTACTTGTGTACAAGAGAGAGCTGGAGACTGTAAGATATTCAGAGTGTTCTAACTAGATCTTCTAGTAAGAGTTTCTTTCTAGTGAAAGGGTTAATTTTTAACAGATGAAGCCCAAGTATGCTTGCAACTCAGTTGAGAAGATTTTGAGAAGGTTTGAAGGAACGAGTCTGTCTCAAATTATCTGATAAAAGGTATACAGATGGTCTTCTACTTTTGACCAATTTGGGAGCAGAATTCCCAATGCTAGGCGAGGCAATCATTAAGTGAGTTGCACCAGATTTTACAAACTTTTTGCTCTGGACATTAAGCAACTCCAGCTCCTTCCCTTGATTTTGCTTGTTGGAAGGCCCCTGAGGAGATTTCAAATGGCAGGATCATGTAACCCTCCTGGGATATTGCAACTGCCACAAATGCATGCCGGTTGCTAAATGTCCAAATTTTGTGGGGACATTGCAGTGATCATAAGTGTGAGGAACAATATAGTAAGTCACTTTTTCAGCGCTGTCATAATTTTGAATGATCATTAAACAATTGATCGTACATCAAGGACTACTTGTATAAATAGAAGAGCAGTATTTTGAGATCATCTTTTGTATTAGGGCAGAAATAATAATAATAAAATGCTGTAAAAGCACCTAATGCAAAACACCACACTATTATTGGGCAAGATCTGCTGTTTCCATGGTGGCATCTGTGGAAGTCAGATGGTTATCCCCAATGCTTAATTTCTTGGAAAATAATTCTGTGGATCATAGCATTCTAGGAAAAAAAGGCTTTTGACTTAAAAAGCCTTACCACAATGGGGAATTTCTGCTGCTTTTTTAGAACTAAAAAAAAAAAAGGATATGCTTGGGGCATTTTTAATCTATTTGTTCTTCTGTTCCAAGGTTAAGCTCTGGCACTGAAAATTGAATCCTGGCACTCCACTAAAATGGAGAAAAGATGCCTAGGACTTGGCATGAATGGTTAAAGCCGAGTGAGGTTAATGCCAACTGGAATTAACTTGCATGGAAGAAACGGCATGTGAGTTTATAAGTGGTAGACTAGAGGCGCTCTAGTCTACAGGACTATAATCTGCTAAATAAAACATCTTGATTTAAGTGGGGAGAAGAAAGAATTGAACCTTTCTAGGACTTTTCTTTTATAATTATTTGAATAGCAAAATACAATTGGGGTCTCTCTCTCTTAAGCAAGGCTAGTAGAAAAAGAATGCGTGTGAGGGGATTGCAATATTGCAAATCAGTATCTATTTAAGTGAAAAAACAACAACAATGCATTTAATTTTGTAACTGCCAGTCTTGTTTGGGTATATGATGCCCCCTGTATGGGGGGGGGGGAGAGGCCTCATTTAATTTCTACAATTTCTTTGATTGTGAAGATGGTGATGAGGAGGAAGAGGAGAAGAAGTAATCATTCTAGATGTCTGATCATTAAATTGCAAATTAATGAAGTCACTCTGGGCTGCCTCTACATTTGATTGATTAGAAGTTAATGTAACTTAAAGTTCCTTCACACAATTCTCCTACTGCAGAATGTGAGGCTATTTTGAAAAATCCTCAGCATTCACCTTAGAGGACTCCTTTATGAGGACACACTGAATGACAACAGTGTTCTCGGTCTGTCTAGTGGGAACTAGAGCAGTTGAACTACACACTGATCAGGATACACACACCCCTTCACTGGTCCATGTTGTGCCTGTCACAGTAGCCTGACATGTTTAGCGTATCTCATATCTGTAGGGGTGTGAATAAATAGTAGGAAACTTTGCCTGCTGTACCTGTGGCAAATCTGATTTCCATCCATACGATTCACTCATTTCAGTTGTACGTCTCTGACCTTCTATCCCTTTCATAGCAGCGGGTGCCATTGGAATAAACAGAAGGTAGACATTCATACTACATGTCCCAAGTCAAAGGACGTATTCCTGTTGTTAGACACTGAATATCTGCCACTACAGAGACTGAGTTTCAGGGAAGCATAGCCTTTTCCATAGAGCAATGGTTGCACTTCATAAAGCTAAACAAAAATGATAGTTAAGGACTGAAGTTGCTCATAAGTAAGGAAGTGTCCATTCTACTTGGATAAATGGGCGTGAAACGTTCCAATTGAGATGGATTTGTAAGCAGCTGCCCTTGACTCTCAGGTTAGCTTCTTCCACCGAAAGAGAGAGTGAAATAAGATTTTAGGGGTAAGGAAATAGCTGGAGTATCAGTTTCCCCCCTTCTCTTCCAACCTACCAGTGGAACCAGAGAATGTTTCTCATCCTAAGTATTCTGGCTCCATAAGATTTTGGAGATTGTTATGGAAAGTCATGACAACATATATGAATGCATATTGCCGGAAAGCAGTTGAATTATCAATGTAATGGGCATTTTTTGCAAATCTGTCTATTTATACTCTGTTCATTGTTTAATTTCTGTATTTCCTTTTGCTTTGCACTGTAATAAAATCCAATTTGGAAATAGATATGGCTAATCTCTGCAGAAAATAGTGGATGGTTCAGTCCATGAAATGCATTATAATTGCAACAATTCTTATTTATGGTCTAATACGGGGCACATATTCTCTGTAATGCACTAATGGCTACATCTTGTGCTTTGCAAAAGAAAATAAAAGAAAGAATAAAGAAAAAAGAGGGAGGGTTAAATATGTAATTTTAAAGGTCAAAATATTCATTTTTTTAAAAAAAATATCAACATAGTTTCAGGAATATTCTGAGGTACATAAAACAAGAGAAAATAAACCAGGTTTTTAAGCCACAAAATGTACTACATACTGCAATACTAGGTTCAATTAATTTAATAAAATAGACTATACATATAGACTCTGAACAATGTATTGCTTTTACCCAAGCAGAACTTATGCTTAAGTAAGCATGATATAGCTTAACCATTCTTCTACCAGCTAGCTCTTTTTTAAACTTTGGATATTTAAAAAAATCAGTGCCGTTTTAGAATAGAGAGGTTTAATTTATTACATGAGGGAAAGTGGGGAAAATGTTTGGCACCAGTAACAGAAAAGAAACCACTTCAAGGGTCGACATCTGGTTGATCAAAGGAAAAACTAGGGAGTGTCAGCAAGTCTTTCTTTGGAGTTGGAGTTATTGACAGACTGTCTGGGAGGGTTGAGTCCCCTCCATCCACTGAGTCCTTGGAGTCCCAAGATGGTGCACGTCTTCTCAAGCAAACATCTGCACTGGAAGGGGACGCGGTGCAAGACCTCCTTAGTAGCAACCTCTGTTCCTCAGGAGGGTCTATGGATATACATGGGGGGCTCATTTTTTTCTTTGGCCGTGTCCCTTGCAAGCCCTCCATTTCACTGAAGACCTGACTGATGAAGCCAGAAGAACTAGAGGTGGAATGATGTTGGGGGCTGTTTTCCATGGAACAAATTTCTATGGAATGTCTCCTTTGATCGTCTAACCACGATGACGGTTTTTTAAGAAGACCTTGTGTATCCACACTGTAGCATTTCTTCAGGTCCTTCAAAGGAACATTGCCACTGTTGCCTACATTTCTCTTAGGGGTCTCAGGCTGGACCACTGATGAGGCACTCATGGCTGAACAAGTTCCTGAAGTAAAACAGCTGTTTATTTCTGATACTTCTTGGTCCAGCGGATCCCCAGGTAGTTCCTGAAGAGAGTCTGTACAGGCACACAAATCTGGAACATGCTTGGAGATGTTATATTGATTGCGGGAATGTTGCTGAGTGTGAACACTGGATCGGGCCCAGCTGGCAGACTCTCTTGCTTCCGAGGATGTCAAAGTGATAGAAAGGTCCTCGGTGGACGGGGCTGACAAATTGGAATCAGAGAGCTCACTCACCTCGGCATGGAGGTTCTCTCTGCTTTCTGAACTATGAGTATCCGAAGAATCATTCCGTATGGCCATCTGTGCAGGAGGTATCAAAGAATCAGATGGGAAGAAACACATAGAAGGCGCATTAGTACAGGCAAGGTGCAAGATGTAAACGGCATATTAACAATGACAACTGAATTTTAGCTTTGTGTGTGATGGACTGAAAACTCCAGCAAGCTCCAGTTTCAAGGTTTACCAGCTGCTCTCATGATGCCCTGCAGTCACATTATCTATTTTGCACATGTTGTACACTCTCCAATTCATGACATTCTGCTTTGGGATTAGTTGGAAACTCTTGCTATATTTTAGATGCGCTCAGTCTAAATTCCCTTTCCCTTATGCTCACAAGAACTGTGATAGAACTGCCTTCAGAATAGTCTATATGGCACATTTGGCTGACAGCCAAGAGGTGCCTGCAGGCGACCTTGAGGGACAACTGATTATGAACAGAAGCTAAGCAGGAGTTTTACTCTTAGAAATGCCTCTTTTAGGCATCCATGAACTTAAGTAGCATTGATGCTGAATAAAACACGTTAATCAGTGCTCAGTGTAGTATATATTCAATATTGTGCCTAGCACAATAGAGCATGCCCTATCATTCTTATTTTTTTCAAGGCACAAAATCAAGCCTAGGGAAGTTTTTTTACAAACATGGCCCAGTTCATGGAAGAAGATAGAAATACATTCATGAGGGTAGGGGGTTGTTATTACATTTATTTCTTTTTTTAAAAAAACTTTTTAATTAAAGCTTTTACATCGCTGTGTTGCTTAACAGGGAAAGAACAATTTTTGGCTTGATTATGCGTTCAATTAAATAAAAGCACATTGCTACAGGGTTATGAAACTAAAAATGCTGCACAATATTTTTATTTGTTGAAATGGCACTTTTGTGTGTCCACGGAGACTGCTGTTAAGGTGAGAAAAGAACATGTATTAGATTTACTACAAAGGTGAATTTTAGGATATTCACAGAAGATTTGTCAGTATTCTACCACTGCAAATTATATTTAGAAGTAACCTGTCTTCCCCCAGAAAAGCAAAAGAAATACAAGGGAGTCTTTAGACTTGAAGAAAGATACTGAGGTGGTGGGATTCCCACTGCTTGTAGAGGGGAGATGGCTGTCTAATTCCCATAGTGCTAAACCTGGCCAATCTGCCACTTGTCAATTTTGGAGCTAGGACTTCACAAGGACTTGGAATCAGCATGTCTGCAATTGGGTCAGTGCCTAGCATTTTCAGTAGTGATGAAGGATGCAGTAGGTGTGAATACTCGCATTGGGCTGACTCAGTATTCATTAGAAGAAGAAAAACACTTTTGCAGTGCACTGGCAGGGAACAACTCCCCGTGCAAGGCTTTTCTGTTCTTCAAAATCAACAGATTGACTCTCACCAAGGAATTCATCACTAATTGCCAGGGCAGCCCCAAGAAAAGAATGGGAAGTTGAATGGTAGGAGATTCTGGAACTATAAAAAGAGAACTGTGTCAGAAGGTTAGAAGTGGTGGGTGTTTCATCACTGGAAGCTTTTAAGAAGGGACTGGACAATCATTTGTCTGAAATGGTTTAGGGTCTCTTGCTTGAGCAGGGGGCTGGACTAGAATACCTCCAGGGTGCCTTCCAGTTCTATTATGTCTGATTGATTGCCTGATGTACAAACAGGATTCAGAGGGAAAACACACTGCTGATGTCCAGAAGGCAAGAGAAAAGGCAAGGGGCATCTATGTTTGATGCCTGTATTATACACAGAGTTTTTAGTCTATATATACACTCCAATAAATTGTGGATGGCCCTTAAACAATAGATAACTACGCTACCTCACCTGCCCAATGAAGAATTGGTATGCAAACAACAGTCATGGTGCGATATAGAATATATGCCTGGTTCAGAATTGGGAAAGAAATTTATCATACTTTATTTATTTAATAAATTTATTGGCCACCCATCTTATCGCAGGGTAACTCTGGGCAGATGTGTATAAAAACCTAAAATGTTTGTGAGTCAGAGGATTTAAAAAATGAACATTCAATTGAAATCAGAACATTTCCTCCTGACACCGATGGATAAACAGCTAGAAAAAAAGTTGTGGAATACCATTTTCATATATGATAACTGCAGCCAATTATTGTATGCAGGAAGATGAAAACACTTGCCAATATCTATAGTGGAGATATTAGTGAAGATGACAGAACTTGTCAACGAAGCTGACCTGTCAGATTAAAGACAATATCTAATTTATTGATCACCGGAAATCCATTACTGACTTTTTATATGGAAAAAAAGGAACTTGCAATTTATAGTTCTGATGATTAGACAGGATCAGTGAGTTTCAATCTTGACAACTGTGAGATTTATGAACTTCAATTCCCAGAATTTTGGCTGAGGAATTCTGGGAATTGAAGTCTACAAATCTTAAAGTTGAGAAACAGTGGGACAGATTTTAGAAAGAAGAGAGTCATGATGAAACTTTACAAAGACAAATTAAAACATAATTAACTGGTGTGAAGAAAATTGGAAGGCACTTCTTTATACCTTTCTTTATATCTTTTTCTTTTCTACTTTATTTCTTAAAACTTTCAATTATATATATATGTGTGTTTGTGTTTATGAGGGTATGTACATGCCCACATATACATGCATATATAGTGGACTAGAAGACATATGAATTGGAATTAAAATTGATGGTAGAAAAAACAAATGAGGAAGATATAAAGGAATCTCTTGTTGAAGATGGAATAAGAGAGTGTAAAACCTGGTCTGCCATTCAATATTTTAAAAAATAAGATTATGTCAACACACATTACAGCCAATGCAAACATGCATAGAGAAAAAATGAGGAAGGTACAGATTGTAGTTTTCTAGTCTCAAAAATTCATATTTTTTTGTGAAGAGAAAAAGACCTTTTATATGCATTACAAAAGTTTTAGGCAAAAATATTAAAGTGCGGAGACATCACACTCAGAACATTATCAAAACTATGGTCTTCAATTGAAACATATGGCTGTGATCACTGAATCATTAGAAAGATTAAATGAAAAACAATACATTTCGTTGCTGGAGAATATTGTTGAGAGCAGATCATTTAACCCTAGACAATGCAAAATCAGACAGTTCATTGAAAGAGTTGACATTGAAACTAAACCTTACATACACAATTCAAAGATCTTTGGATAGATCAAAAGCAATAAAAAAGATCCACAGAAGAGAAGGAAGTTAGATGACACAAGACCTGGCTGCAGCACAGAAACCGCTTTGGTCGCGTTGACTGATGGTCTCTGGAGAGCCAGGGATGGAGGCCACGCCTCCATCCTAGTGCTCCTTGACCTCTCGGCGGC